TAAGATTTTATTTATTTGACAGAGAGAGACACAGCGAGAGAGGGAACATAAGCAGGGGGAGTGGGAGCGGGAGAAGCAGGCTTCCCACGGAGCAAGGAGCCCAATGTGGGGCTCGATCCCAGGACCCTGGGATCATGACCTGAGCCAAAGGCAGACGCTTAACAACTGAGCCACCCAGGCGCCCCAACTGTTTTGGTTCTTCTCCCAACACCTTCTTGTTCAACTCCCTCAACTATCTTCTTCAGTTCTGGAAGCTATGGAGTATCCTTCTAATAAATTCTTTATGTCATTACTTAAGTTAGAATCAAAATCTCTTCCTTGCAACCAAAGAACTTTTTACTTGATACAGACTATAATCATTATTCTGAGAGCAAATTCATGGCCTTCTTGCTGTTCATATTCTTGTTCTTCGTAATACTCGATTTTCTCCCAAACTAACATCAATCTATAAACATAATGTTGGAGAAAGAGAAAGAAACGAGAGTGTGTCGGACATGTGGAAGCAGATGAGCTGACCTCCCCAGCTTTGTGTTGATAGAGAAGTTGCATTTCTGCCTCTGTCATGGTTCTCTCTTCATTTGCTAAAATGTCAAAACCGGCTTCGTGGATCTGTAAAATACACATATATTGTGAAAGGGTAAATCAAGCCCAAATTCACATTCAAATGTGCTGAAAAGTAAAAGATAATGGGAAAGATAACATTAAAAGCAGCGAAGACCCTCATCCTCATCGTATCTGTCCCAAACGGATTTAAAATGTTTCATTGACTTAACTGGAATTTTGGTTGGAGCTCCTCAGAAGCCTCCTTTTCCCACTAGCACACTGTTGTTCAATGCCCCGCCCCTGCTTTTCCAGCAGAGGAGACATGAGGGCAGTCTGTCCGGGAAGCGTTGTCTCTCTTACCTTCATAATAATCTCATCAGTCTTTCCGTGGACCACTGCGTCTGGCTTAATGATGGCCAAGGTGCAGGTCTTCCCTGATGAAGCTGGGGTAGGGGTGGGGAGGGAGAGCAGGGAGGAAATCAGAGACTACTCAGGAGCAGAGCTCCAGCAACAACTGGAAGAGTCAGCTTGGAGCTGGGGAGAGCTGGAACAGAGGCAACACGGGCCTGGCCTCTCTCGTGCCTTCCTGTCACTTCCCCTGACTCCGAGCCTCTAGCTGCTGTCTACTCTGTTCTCTTACTCCACTGGCTCCTTCGCCAGAGCTTCTTTTTAACTTTTCTGGCATATGGGCAGTAATGACTGCCCCAGGCCCTGAGTCTGTATGACTTTTCAGCACCAGCACGTTCTCCTGAGAGAAGATCAGACTGGCCAGTTCGTTGTGTGGAGCCAAGGTACCAGTCATAGCTCCCTGAACAGTGTCCTGATGGCTGTTCTTTGGTCAGTGCCCATAGATCCAATCAGCTGTGGTGACGCGGGAGGTGGCACATGGTTGTAGTCCCTGCTCAGGCCTGTAGGAGGCCCGGTGTCCAGTCCATAAGCCCAGCCCTACTGTACTCCTGTTTGTATCAACTTGGCCTTGGTGAGCTTCCTACACTCTCCACAGACTCTGTACCCCCCATAGCCTATTTTCTGTTCTCAACCTTTACATCAGTTGTGTGGCAATGAAACATGACAACATCTGCGTTTGAGGAGAACTTCCTACTCTGAAAATCTCAAAAACTTGTGTACTGCAAAAATGTGAATCATTTTAAGCAACAAATCTATCCATTTTTCTTATTTCTAATGTCCCATGAATCCTTAGTCTTTAAGGGACTCTTAAAATGAAATCCCTTATATGTTGACCCATTAATGAGAACCCCTAGAGGCGCGGGGTGAGAAGAGAAGAGGCCAGATCAGGGCCCAGAGAATTCCAGCTTGAAAGGGGAGCAAATGAGAAAAGGCCAATGAAGGGGAGGAGGCTGTGGAGAGGCCAGAGACGTAGAAGGAAAACGAGAAAGGTCATGACATCTCAGAAACCAAAAGAGACGAGGGTTTGGAGAAGGAAGGCACTGTCAACATCATCCAAGTCCTCAGAGGCTGTAGGATATGACTGGACACTGTGTGTTGGATTTGGCCACCAAGGTCAGTGGTGCCCCATGAGCACCAGGGAGCAGGTCGGGCAGGAGCCGAAGGTGAGGGGTGCCCAAGGAGTATGGGAGCTCAGGAAGTTCAGGCATGGAGGGAAGGAAGGCTAAGGGCAAGGGCAGGCTTTTAGGTTATTTTCTAGGTGGAGAGACTTGATTTGAGAGGAGATAATGAAGGAGGGAAGAGGAGATCATCCAAAAAAGGAGGTAACAAATGTTTCCTGCAGAGGCCAGAACACTGATTTTTTCACACTTGAAGTGTTTTTGCTCTCCGAACTGTGCCTCTTTCCTTGTTAGAATCCAAACTCAAACAGTCCTCATTATCCCCACATGAATAAACAGCCTCTCTGCTTCACACAATAATAAAAATCTTCCTTCTCCTTCCAACTCGGTTCCTGAACTTAATGCTGGTTTCCCCTAGAGTCTCAGTTACTGTCACAAGCCACCTTCTAACTTCTGGCTTCCCTGCTGTCAGGTCAAGTTGTTCTTCCCATAGTAAAGGTTCAGGAAGAACTATGACGCCCAGGACTCCTGACTTTTGGACGCTTCAGAAAAAGGTGAAAAAAAGAAATGAGCTCTTTAGCTCAAATGAAGACTAAGGAAACACCAGCATCATTACTTGAAATTCTACCTTCCTTTTTATTAAGTGGGGCTTTTCCTGATGTGGTGTAATAGCCCCGAAAGTCATACTTGTGATACTTGAGCATGATCAGAAAGCTGCAAAAAGTACCTACAATGTCAAGAAAGGGCAGAAGGGAGATTGGGCACAGTATGTTTGAAGTCAGGTGACTGGAAACCGAATGTTTCACGGTTAATCTTCCCAGAGTTCAGATTGCCCAAATCACTGATGACCCATATGCTTTGCCTTTTTGTCTTGCTTACTGGTTCTATACTCACCCACGTCCACATCTTCACCATTGTCCTTGTCATGGGAGAGGCATCCGTCTTCATCAGACAGAGCCTCGTCTCTAATCTAGAGTAACACATGGGTCATGAACAGAAAGTAGTTAGCTAATTAAAATTACCACAAAGACCTCCAGCAACTGACAGAAGCCAAAAAAAAAAAAAAGCAAAGGCCTGAAATGCAGAGCCAAGAAAACGGGGTCAAGAGCATCAGCCTTGGAAACTTTACAAGATCCTTTTTAGTAGCCGGATGACGGTGGAGGTGAGGGTGTTCGAAGACAAGGAAATCCATGCTGACTTTAAGGTTTAGATTCGGCCCATTTCCACAAACATCAAGTAGAAAAGATGAAGTAGGGAGTTGGCCAGAAGACAAAGGAAGAAGTGACATACAAGGAGATACTTATCAACTGGCTCCCCCGGGCAACGTTAGTCGTGAAGACATCATCTCCCCCTGGAGGGGGCACAAGCAGGTGTGATTTTCAGAGAAAAATATGGATTCTAAGCCATTCTATAAAAACAGGGCTTCACTATTTGGAAGTGAATATGAAAACTTGAACAATGAATACTGAACAACATAAGGCTCATTGGACAGAAGCTCAAAGCACCAGGAAATGCCTCTCTCTATCTGAGGTGGTGTCAGTGTTCAATGGCAGCCAAATTTTTGTGAGAAACTTGTAGTCTATGCTGTCATAGAAATAATTTATCAAAATCACAAGCCATGCTGATCCTATTGCTCGTGTGAATGACAGGGCTTAATTTCTAAATTAAACGATCCCTCGGGGATCACAACTAAAACTTTCAGGTATGGGAGGCGAGGGCAGATCACCAGGAGAGAGCTCACGGTGAGGCTGACTTCTACCCCACTACTCTACTCCATAACTTTATCTTCATTTCTGAACATATTGCCAGGGTTCCAGAAACCCCTGTTAAGAATTGAAGCAGGGGATGAACAGGAAATGGATAAGAGAAGTTCAAGTGCTCTGGATGAAGGGGGCGACTTTTTAAAATGAGTTTTTTAAAATGCATGTACGGGACGCCTGGGTGGCTCAGTCGGTTAAGCATCAGCCTTTGGCTCAGGTCATGATCTCAGGGTCCTGGGATCGAGCCCCACATCGGGCTCCCTGCTCGGCGGGAGGCCTGCTTCTCCCTCTCCCACTCCCCCTGCTTGTGTTGCCTCTCTTGCTGTCTCTCTCTCTGTCAAATAAATAAAATCCAAAATAAAATAAAATGCATGTATGTCCTAGTGGGCACTGCCTCCCCGAGCCCTCGGGTGGGCATTTAATGGCACTTGCCACTGAGCGCTCCAGGAAGATTGGTGGGACCGGGAGACACCGAGCTCGGCGCTGGTGGAAGCACTCCTTACCACTTTTCGCTCGCGGCCTTCGGCCAGCACCTTCTTCTCAGCCTCCAGCTGCTCTCGGATGGTTTTCTGCAGCAGCGGGGCGTTGGCTCCTCTCACCACCGCCACCAGTTCTCCCCCCTAGAACACAGAACACACGCGCTACCCAAACCGCTTGAACTCTTTGTCACAGATCTTCATCTCTTTGAAGGGCCAGCGAGTGTCCAAGAGCTTTGCTTAGGCGTGTGCCCAAGGCCGAGGCCGCCATCCACTGCTCTGCCTTCTACCCCATGCCTCTCCTTTCAGAGCTGCCTCCAGGGAAACAGGGAGTTAGTTAAGGGAGGAGCAGGGCAACGAAGTTGTGGGTGATTAAGGGTGGCCTAGACATGGCTCGTCCACTTGACAAATACCTATTGAGCACTTACTCTGCCAAGCCCCAAGACAGAGGCAAAGAATATGAACAGTCACCATGAAAAGCCAGAGTTGCCTGCTTCAGGGAACGGGAAGCCAAGTGGGGAGAGAGGTGGTCATATCAAAGAAACAAGATCATCACTTTAAGAGGGGGAACATACAGGATGCTTGGCATTCAGGGCAAGAATGGATTCCCAGTTCCATCCGGGGGGGTCAGAGGAGACTTCATTCACAGCGGAGGTGGTGTTTGGGGCCACTGAGTCTCGGCTTTAACCTTTCCAGCAGTCAGTCTCTGCCTATTACTCACAGAAGCTGGTGGAGAGTGGGCCCTCCCCCGTTCCCACCCCGCCCCGCAGGGGGCCCGCCACAGGTTGAGAGGCTGTGATGGAGCCCGCCGCCTTGGCACCTGCTCCCACACAGTCCAGTGTGATTTATGCCTTCATCACTACAGGCTCAAGCAAGCGAACCCCTGTGGCAGCAATCGCATTTCTGCGCCTGTGGCCCACTGTCACTTTGGCTCCTTCCCACTTCTCCCTCCATCCTCACCCATGTTTCAGCATCTAATTCCAGTCTTCTGTCAAGAATCAACACCCAAATAATGTTTGCCATAGGCTTCCAATCTGTGATACTTGTAGTGCTGTGGGCAGGAATCTGAAGGTTTCCGAAGTGAACAACCCTGGCCTGGCTGTCAGGAGAGGTGGGCGGGTAGGTCTCAGTTTCCCCTGACTGGATGAGGACGGGCTGCAGTCAGGAATAGCGTATCTGTCGCAAGCCTGGCAGGTGACCTAAGCTAGGAAGCCAGGTGTGAGGCAGTGGGCCCGGAGGGGCATGGGGCCAGAGCGTGGATGTCACACCCCAAGACATCCAAACTATCTTTCAAAACACGGAACTACTTGGTTTTCCTCAACATTTCCTTCCATTTCTGAATTTCTGTAAACATATCTTCACATCTTACGATTAAATAAAAGTGAACGCAGAGCTTGTCTACCCCATTAGAGTATGTGTGCTGAAAGCTTCCCTCTACAGAGCGGAGAATAGAAATCTTGAAACCTTGTGCTCTGTCCATGAGCCAGAAGGAGCAGACACTTTTGAGTGACTCCCATTCTTTCCCATGTACAGCCAATCAGGAAGGCTGCTGAGTCCAGAGTGACCCTCGGGAGCTGTGTCATCCTGGGCCTCCCCTCCAGCGAGCCGTGCCACCGTTCGAGGCAGGGACCTGCATTACCAGGACTTAAGTATGCCTCTCCTTACCCCAGATAACAAATGCAGTCAAGGAGGAAACAATCCCTTGTTTGGATCAGTGAAGCCTCTTGGTGACTTTCAGGGAGACGCCTCTAGCGGAACCCTGATGATCTGCAACGGTTCTGGGTCTGGTTCTACAGATGTACTTACTGCATAAAACAGAAAGTTCGGCTCACACCTCCCTCGGTACTTTTCAAGGACATCAAGACAATCTGCTTCTGCCTAGAGAAAACAAACTGTCAGGAGGGGCCTGGGGTGCCGGGGACACAGGGGCATGATGGTGGGCGACCACACAGGACAATACCCACACAGACACACACCCCACATATACACACATAGACCCCATAAACAGCACGCACGCACACACACCCCCCCTCTCCACGCACAGTTTGCCTTCCGTGTCTGAGAAGCCCTGTGCGGGGGCAGGCATTGCTGCCACACACCCTCCCCAGAAGGGTCAGAACTGACTCCCCATGAAGAAAGTGCAGAGTCCTTGAGAGGTCAGCGTGGGTGAATTTTCTCCTGTGTTCCGCCTATGAACCTCTAATCCGAGTGTCTCTCGCACACTTCTCTGGAATTTATTCCCATTTCCATACATTCATCCAAGGAAATATTGGCCAGAAATTCCCCACGATGGAGGACAGCATAAAAATCTTGGAACTCTGTGCTCTGAGAGTAAGACTTCAGAGTCCCCAGTGTTCATGAGCCAGAAGGAGCATGCGTGTCGGGTGACGTGCACCCCTTCCCTGTGCACAGGGTCAAGAGATGCCGGAGCTCAGAGTGACTGTCGGGGGCTAGGGGTGGGGTAGGAATCTTTTATCTCTAAAGAAACTATAAAGCACCGTAACTGATGACCCAAAATTTCACAACCGATGCCTTTTCAATGATCTGGAAAAAAGGCAGCTCATGCTTCCTGTCCCTGATTTTAAATGTTTAATTATTTTACAGTGTCGTGTAACATTCTGCTGAGAGAGGATCTTACTAATGCAAAATGCAGAAGGTCCAGGCCAACCTCCATCCTCATCTTCTGGAAGAGGCTCACCACGGGTTTGCAGGGCCCACACCAGCCTTGATAGACGTCAACAACTGTGTGGAACCAAGAAGCAGGAACATTCAGCGGTCACCAGTACTCACCATGTCAGGCAAAATTTATACCTGCAAACTCTAACTCCTCTCCAGTGCACGTCTGTTTGCAGGGTTATTTAATGGTTCAAGGGATTTATTCTCCCCTTGGAATAGGGTCAAGCATGGAAACACAGCCACCCCTTATTCTTACGAACTCAGGGTTCTGAATTCTAAACAGAATGAAGTAAGTGTGGTAGAAAACAGTTTTCTTTACGGATCTTTTACCTGCAGTCATTTCAGGCTACGTTCATGGCCAGGCTGGTACAGAGTAGCCCTCAATAAATATTTGAATTGTACTAAAATTATCTATTCTAAAAGAGGTCACGGTAGGCGGCCTGTCAGCACACAATCAACTCTTAGCTGCTTTGATAATAAACACAGTTTTGACATTTTCCCCTGATGGATTAAAAGCCACTTCTTTGGGTAAAGGAGAGTTTTATTTACTTTATAAAATCAACATTGTTCTCCTGAAAAGTGTACCTGATAGAGACCTAGATGGTAACTTGGCTACTTTTTTCTTTGTCAGTCCCAGTCTATGGAGTGTGGCAGGACAGGGCTTGAGGGAACCCTCTCGTCTGATTGCACGAGGCCCCAGGGCCTGTGGGAAAGCGAAGCAAGCTAAGCCAACACATGTGTACCAGATACATGCAGGACGTGTCCAGCCCCATCATGACGACACAGCTAGTGCTAGACTGTGTGAAGTTCAAAGACGTGAAGTAACTAACCCAAGGTACAAAAGAAAAATTAAATTCTCAAGCGGTAGAATCTAGTTTTAAACCCAGGTTCGTCTGAGTGCATGCTCTTTCAGCTACTCCAGGAAAGAAGCAAGATGCATGGATTCAGGAGTGTTGGTTAGTTTCATCAAGCAACATAGTTTTGCAGGGAGAAAGTGAGAACGAAGTTGGGTATGGGAGGGATGAGGAAGCCAGGCACAGGGGGTTAGTGGGGGTGGGAGGGAAGGAAGGGAGGAATCCACAAGACTTTGAAAGGGAAGGGAAGGGGGGGGCAGGGGATGAAAGTCACGTGGGTGTGGAAAGGACTCTACCTTGGAGCCTGGCAGAGGAAAAGAACTGGGTGGTGGCAGGGAGAGATCATTTGCGGGAAAGAGAAACGTCAACTCAGTTCTAGACATGCTGGGTTTCCAGTTCAAGCAAGAGAATCTAAGGCCAGTGGTCTCAAAGGCAACCAGGTACCTGCAGAGACGGAGACAGATTTGGGCCTCCTGGGCACCCACATGGAGGACAAAGCTCCGGGTTTCGCTGAGGATAACAGCTTCACACTTGAGGGGCTTGGGGATTTCAATACACCAGGGAGGTGTAATGGGGGAGGAAGGCATTTGGGTCAAGCCAGGAAAAAGTCTTTGAAGACCTCAAGGGCCTGTGTTTGGGCCCACCAAGGAAAGCAGGTTCACACTCCCACTAGGGAAAAAATGGGACCCAATTAGCTACCAATCTCTCTGCAGGATTTGCACCCGTAGTTCAGCTTCCTATCTCCCCTCGTAGTCCCTGGCTCTCTGAGCAGTGGTGGGGCAAGGGCATACTTCACAGGCTATGGGGCAGAGAGCAAGACTGGAGAGGAAGTGTATCAAGAGTTACAAAGCAAAACAGAGAAGACATCGGGGAGGAAAGAAATGACAGAGAAAATGAAAAGTGTGTGCACGTGTGTGTGTGCACGTTCATGCGTGGGGAGAGGTAAAAGCAGACACAAGCTGGCCGAGCAGGTGTGTTTATAGGGAGAAGAACTGAGCGGATACAGAGAGAGGAAGGGAGCCCAGAGCTACGCACCATCAATGAAACGAGAAAGGAACTGTAGTGGCAGGTGTGGCAGGTAGCCTCTAAGAGGCCAGGGGGGAGTCCTGCCTCCTGGGATGTAACCCCGTGCCCTTGAGGGCAGGCCGGACCTAGTGCCTGGCTTCTAACAACGGAGTAGGGCAAAGCGATGGGATGTCACTTTTCAGATTCAGCTATAGAAAGACTTTGACTTGCATATGTCTCTCCCTCCCCCTCTGCCCCCCTTCCTCTGGGGGAAGAAAGTTACTGTGTTGCAAGTAGCTTTATGGAGAAATTGATAGCAAGAACTTGATGTCTCTGGCCAATAGCCAGCAGGGCCCGGAGTCCTGCCAACAGCCTCATGAATGAAGTTGGAAATGACCTTCTAAGATCTGTCAGAGCCACATGACCAAGCTCAGAAGCAAATTGGACTTTAGTTGAGCTTTGACATTCCCTATCTTACACCTTAACTGCAGCCTGGTGAGAGACCCCAAACCAGAGACATCCCAAACCAGAGGTGAAGCAACACCTGGATTCCAACCCCACAGAAACTGTGGGATAAGAAATGTTCATTTTTGGGGCGCCTGGGTGGCTCATTTGATTAAGTGTCTGCCTTCGGCTCAGGTCCTGATCTCAGGGTCCTGGCATTGAGTCCTGCGTCGGGCTCCCTGCTCAGCAGGGAGTCTGTTCCTCCCTCTGTGCTCTCTCGCGCTCTCAAATAAATAAATAAAATCTTTAAAAAAAAATAAATGTTCATTTTTTTAAAAACTACTAAGTAAATTGCAATCGATAACATACAAGAGGATAGGGACGAGGAGGCCCAAGGAACAGTGGCTATGCTGGATCTTAATGACGGTGCAGTCCCTGGTTCCAGCCCCTTGGGATGCCTAGCTCTCCTTCCAGCCCCTGAGTTCCAAGAGATCCCCATATTCCTTCCGGCACATTCCCCTTTATGCCTCAGGTAGTCAGAAGAGGTTTTCATTCCTTCATACCAAACAACCCTTGGGTCGGACAGTCAGCTCTGAGACAAGGGAGCCCTGTTACCCGGCAGTACTGACTGTTTTCCTGAGCTGAACGTACTAACAGATGTGCAAGTTGGATAGATACACACGCACAAAGAAATGACCTGGTTCTTCATTTATGAAACTCAAGACAGGAAAATGGTGCTCATTGCAGCTTTTCTCTGCCTGGTTCAGTATGCCATGTAGCAATTTTGAAAAGGCTGGATCTAAAAACGTATCTGAGATTACCAGTTAGTCCTTTGGAACTGAGCATTTCCTCCCAAAGCTCCTGGGTGCTGATGTTAACCTAACATCAAAGAAGAACAAAGTCTGTATTACTGAGGGCGTGGATGGGGAAAGGATTTGATGTGTTTGCTCCAGATACCTACCTACCTACCTACCTCTTGCTACCTCCCTTCCCTCCCTCTCTCCCTCTCCCCCCACTTCCCTCCCTCCCCTCCTCCTCTCTCCCTCCCTCTCTGAAATAGGTACAAATACAGCTCAAGCTGTCTTCTTTCCCCAATCTGCCTTTCTCCTCCTGTCTCTTCCTGCCTCCAATCCCCACAAATAACCACTAACCTAAGAAAATCTCAGTCATTTTTTTAAAATAATTTTTTCTTGTTGCTCGTCCAAAAAAATAATATATAAAATTGTTTTGTGTCCATAAAATGTACATAAATAATATCATACTATAGAGATCTTTTTGCAGTTTTTGTTCTCACTCAAATCCAGTTTGACATTTATCTAGATTCATATACAGAGAGGTATTCATTCGTTTTTTTCTTTGGTCTTTTTACGTATTCTGGAGATATATAATTTATATACAGTGAAATACACAGAACTAAAGTGTTGCAGTTCGCCGAGTTTTTGCAAATGCACACAACCCAGGTCACCACACCCCTATCACAATACAGAACTTTCCCGTCATCCCCGAAAGTTCCTCTGTCTCCTCCCGGTCACCCCCGCTCCTCACCCCAGGTGAACACTGATCTGCTTTCTGTCACAATAGATGTGTTTTTTCTAAAACTGCCTATAAATGGAATAGTGCAGCACATACTATTTTGTGCTAGCTTCTTCCATTCAGGGTATTTTGGGAGATATATTTGTGTGGTTGTGTGTTAGTAGTTTGTCCAGTTTTATTCCTGAGCATATTTCATTGTATGACTATATCATAATTTGCTTGATAGATATTTGGGTTACTTCTAGTTTGGGGTTATTACAAATAACGACTTATGAACACTCTTTTTTTTTTTTAAGATTTTATTTATTTGAGAGAGAGAGAGCCTGTGTGAGCAGGGGTAGGGGCAGAGGCAGAGGGAGAAGCAGGCTCCCTGCTGAGCAGGACTCCGGGATCATGACCTGAGCCGAAGGCAGATGCTTAACCAACTGAGCCACCCAGGCGCCCCACTTATGAACATTCTTGTTAAATCTTGTTGTGCGCACGTTTTCATTTGTCTTCAGTAAGTAAATACTCTAGGAGTGGCATTGCTGGGACATAGGGTAAATGTTATGTTCAGTTTAATAAGAAACTGCCCGTGCTTTTCCTAAAGTGATTATACCATTTTAAACTTTCATCAGCAAAGTATACGAGTCCTGCTTGCTCCACATTCTTACCAAAATATAATATTAGTCTTTTAGATTTTAGCCACACTAATGATAATGTAGTGGTATCTCATTGTGGTTGTAATTTCATTTCCCTGATGACTAATGGTGTTAAGCATTATTATTAAATAATGCTTATTATTAAAATTATTAAAAGAGGTATTTATTATTAAAATAATCACTATTTAGTGTGCTTATCAGCCATTTATTTATCTTCTTTGAGAAGTGCCCATTGGTCTGTCCATTTTCTTTATTGGATTGTTGGCCTTTTTATTATTAGATTGTGTGTATATATACGTATATACACAAAGATGCTCTCCCATTTTCTTCTAGAAGCTTTATAATTTAAGCTTTCACATTTAAGTCCATGAGCCATCTGAAATTAATTTTTGCCTGTATTGTGAGGGAAGGATTGAGGTTAGTTTTATTTCCATGTAGAGGTACAGTTTTTTCTGCAAAACTTCTTGAAAAGATTTTTTTTTTCCCCTCATTAAATTGCTTTGGCACCTTTGTTGAAACCAGTTGACTACATAAGCATGGATTTATTTTGGACTCTCTTCCGTTTCATTGACCTATTTTCTATTCTTTTGCCAACACCATATTCTTTTAATTACTGTAACTTTATAATAAGTCTTGGAATCAGGCAGTGTGGGGCTTCCATATTTGTTCTTCTTTTTCAAAAATGTTTGGCTATTCTTGATCCTTTGCATTTCTATTTTTTTAGAACCAGCTTGTCAATTTCTACAAAAACTCGAGATTTTAATTGGGATTGCATTGAATCTATGGATCCATTTGGAAAAAAACTGAATCTTCACAACATTGAGTCTTCCAGGCCATGAACATCATGTTTCTCATCACTTACTGAATCTTCCTTAATTTTCTTAGCAATGTTTCATACTTTTTGGTGTCTAAGTTTTGCACATCTTTTTTATGTATTTCCAAACATCTACATCAGAAATAATAAGTTGAGTTTATTGCCATTTCTTCACATTTTTCTCTTATCTATAAAGTATTCTGGTTTCCATCATAAATTAAATTTAAGGAGAAATACATATTATGTTATACATAGCACATTATCAATAGTGTACATTTTTGAATAATGTTTTTATTTGGAAACAATTTCAAACTTATAGAAGATTTGCAAGTACAGTATAAAGAACTTCTTGAATTATTTGAAATTATTTAAATTATTAAATAACTTGAATTATTTTGAAATTATTTGGATTTAAATTACTAACCTGATATCCCATTATCTCTGAATACATTATCCTACATACAATACAACCATCAAAGTCAGGAAATAAACACTGATATATTATTACTATGCCATCTTCAGGTCCCATTCAGGTTTTACCAATCATCCAAACCATTCAGGTTTTACCAACATTATTTGTCCTGAATAGCAAAGGATCTCGTCAGAATCATGTACCGGATTAGTCTCTTTCAGTCTGGAATAGTTCTTCAGTCTTTCCTTGATTTTCATGACCTCAGGGTCATTCCTGATGACTATGGGAGGGTTATTCTGTAGAATGTCCCTTGGTTTGGGTGTGTTTGATGTTTCCTGATTAGATTCAGGCTGTGCATCTTTGGATTGGTTGGAATTGGTTTGGGTGGAGTGTCAGAGAAGCAGAAGAGTGTTCTCTCATTGCATCCTATCAGGTGACACACAATTTCGATCTGCCCCTTATTGTTCATGTTCACTTGGATCACTTGATTAAGGTGCTCTGTCAGTCTCCTGCACTGTGAAATTATTCTCTTTTACTTTGTAATTAGTAAGTTTGGGTGGGGCTAATTTAAAACTATAAAAATTAAAAGACCATGGCAATGATCACTCATTCTTAATACAGGTATGCTAAGGCCTTTGTTCCTTTAAAAGGGCTGGAAACATGTAACATCTGCAATCTTCTACTAAAGATCCATCTTTCTAAAGAGATCAGATCTCCATACCTTTTGTTTCTATGAAAAAACGGAAGAGTCTTCTTCTTGATGCCTTGAGGGATCTAAGAGAGTTGGACCAACGTCATTCTGGGCTCACAACTGTAGTCCTGAAGAAGGTGACAGATGGTTCATAAGAGTCCCCACCCCCACCCTCTCTCATCACAGTCGCTTCCGGTGGCTCATTGGTCCGTCAGTAGCAACTCTGTGGTACACCCCTGTCGTGGGATAAGCCTCACCAGCTATGGGGCAGGGACTCCGAACACTTAAAGAATCTCGCTCCTAGGAATGGGCCAGGATCAGGAGAGTATGGAAAATGTCTGGACTTCACTAAGCCCTACATTTGGTCGGGAATGAATGGGGAATGCGTGGCACATTCTGGCCAGATTGTCTCTTGATGTCCTGTGATTTCTGTCTCAGTCACAGAAGAAGCCCGAAATAGTCTTAGTCAAAGAGAGGACAGGGTTCCTGGGCTTGCAAACCCTACAGCACTGCTTTCAAGGAGCTGACCTGGTAGAGAGGCAGTGTTCACACAGATGTCTCCATGCACATCCCTCAGCAATCAGGAGTACTTACTTGGAGTACCAAACTGAATTCAGAGCTCTGGGAAATAACATTTTTGTGAAATCACCAAAAAATATTATCCCAAAGGAGATACAAGGCATAGACAGATGAAAAGATAATCATATGGGGCAAAAATCTTAGAGCCACCACAGACAGCAATCAGTCGAGCCTTGAAATCCCTAAAGGAGTCTCATCGCAATAACTCTGCAGGCTATGTATTATCCTTCCTGTTTGCATAAAGGAAGGTTGAGGATATCATTCACAAAGCAGTAAGTCCAGGTGTTTAGAATTTATTTACAGACAGAATGAAGACGTATGAAAAGTTTCATAACTCCAGAGTACTAGAGCACCAGTGCTGGAAGGCCCTTAGGGATAGTTCACTCATTCTACAGATGGGCAAGCTATAGCAAGAGAGGTTATGTGATTGATCTCAAGTCTCCGAGTTGACTAAGAGAAGATCAAGAACTCTATCAGGTCTTCAGACCTTCAGTCCAAAGCTCTTCCCACCCTCTCCTAGTACATGCTATCCTTACAGTGACATTGCTTTCTCCCTTTTTAAATCATTAGGCTTTGGAAATTCACATGTGAAGTGCTGGTGCCACCAAGGACAATGAAAGCGAAATCAGGTGTCTCAAGACCACTGCCACTCTACTCTGCAGGTGGCGCCTGAGCATGTTTCCAGATGGGCTGAACTGACTATGAGACACTGTAAAGTATGCTTTAAAATGTGCACAAATTACAGATCATCCAGATGATCTGCTTATGATAAAACACTCCCTCTTGTCCGGGATCAGGAATCAAAGCAGATGGGGGCTTACAGAGTCATTTGTTCCAGGTGCAAATGAAGTAAAGCACTCTATACAACAAATGTGCAGCACGTAAAATATCAAAACATATTTGTTGAATAAGCAAATGATTGCAAAGAGCAGTGGTGGGAGAACTGGGTCTCCAGAGAGCATGTAGTTACGGACGCATGCCCAAACTCAAAAGAACCCTACATCATATTCTCGAAGCAAGCCGCATTTATATTTCAACAAAAAATATGTCAGTATCGAATTGTATTTGTTCATATTTTCTTGCGTTTTTAGTTTTATTTTAATTCATGTTGGGTTATGTTTGAATAAGCACTATAAGCATAAAGAGCTTATACCCCATTTTATGTTTGCTTATATTTAAGGGCACAAAAAAAATTGTCACTGGGGGTCGAGATAAGTTGGTTGGTTTTTTTTTTCCCCTTTAAGATGGAAAGGTACAATATTCAAGTTTGAGAACACTGTCTGTCACGTACTGCTAGCAAATAATATCACTTTTATACATTTCTTTCCACTCCTCAACCCCTACCCCCAACCAAGTGCTAGAAGCAAGAGCCCCTTGAGGCTTACCTGCAGGGCAATTTCCTTCTTCTTGCTTCCCATGGCTCTGCAAAGAAGACAGAAGCCCTGTTACTTCGGGTTCGGACTGTTCCCAACAGCAGCCTGGAGACAAACCGCTGCGAAAACCAGCAAACCCAGAGCCTCCTTCAGACAAAGCCCCCGTCCCTTTAAGGTAAACATAAGTGGCAGCGAAATAAATGCCCCGATGCAAAATGAACACCACGGGGTGGGGGGTGGGAAGCAGAGCCTGCCGCCCGCAGGGTCGTGGCTCGCCAGGCGGTTTTCGGCAAAGCCCCTTCCCAGCATGGAGTGGGGGAGCCCGGCGATGCAGCCCTTCAGGCATCGGAGCGCCTGCCGAGGAATTCGGGCAGGAAAAGGCCACAGAGCCCTGTTATCCCTACTGTTGCACTATATTCCTGGGAAACTGAGCCACCGCGAACGATCCCTCGACAGCTACACGGTCCTCAAATTGCCGCGAGTTTCCAACCTAGTAGTTAGAGACCCAGCCACGGTCGTCAGGGCAACAATAAACAAGCGTACGCGTAAGCCACGCCCACCGCGGGCGCGCAGAACGGCGGGAGGGAGTCCCGCCCCCTTGCAAGCCGAATTGTGCTATAGGGACGCTCTCGCTGGCTGATGCGTTTGTCAGTGTCTGGGGCATTTGGACTCAGCAAGCAGAGACCCTGTGCACTCAGGTACTGGACAGTTGCCTCCCCGAAGCCCTGCATACTTCCAGCCCAACCAGAGCTGGTGTGCAGCTTTTCTTTTCTTTTTTTTTTTTTTAAGATTTTATTTATTTGACAGAGAGACAGGAAGAGCAGGAACACAAGCAGGGGGAGTGGGAGAGGGAGAAGCAGGCTTCCCGCTGAGCAGGGAGCCCGATGCGGGGCTTGATCCCAGGACCCTGGGACCATGACCTGAGCTGAAGGCAGACGCTTAACGTCTGAGCCACCCAGGCGCCCCTGCTGTGCAGCTTTTCTGTTGTTACTTACTGCATGCCAGCCAGGGGTGGCTCCAGGTGTTGAGGGATCTGAAGGGATTCCCTTTAACAAAGAATACACAATTATAAATTCAAAATTATGTATGAAAGTCAAGTGGGGCAAATAGAAAACAGTTACCAACATAGCATGAATAGTCTATACCAATTAAAAGACAGAGTGTCAATGGATTAAAAAAAAAAAAGGCCCAGCTGTGTGTTGTCTATAAGAAATTCACTTTATTTCTTTTTTTAAGTTTTATCTATTTAAGTAATCTCTACCCCCCAACGTGGGGCTCGAATTCATGTCCCCAAAATTAAGAATCGCATGCCCTTCGGACTGAGCCAGCCAGCTGCCCCAAGAAATTCACTTTAAATATAAAGACACAGATAAGTTAAAAAATAAAGGAGTGGTGGGCGCCTGGGTGGCTCAGTCATCAAGTGTCTGCCTTCAGCTCCCTCTCCCTCTGCAGCTCCCCTTGCCTTTTTTTTTTTTTTTTAAGATTTTCTATTTATTCATTTGAGAGAGAGAGCAAGCAAGAGCATGAGCAGAGGGGAGGGGCAGAGGGAGAAACAGAACAGAGCCCAGAAACAGACCCATACTCATGTGGTCAACTGATCTTTGACAAAGGGGCAAAGGAAAGTCAATGGAGAAAGGATAGTCTTTTCAAAAAAGTGGTGCTGGAATAATTGGATCTGGACACAGAGCTTACACCTTTTACAAAAATTAACTCAAAATGGATCATAGACATAAATAAATTAGGGATTACAAATTAGAGCAATAATGAGATACTTCTACACACCTATTAGAATGGCTAAAACCCCCCAAATTGACAATATTGGTTCACAAAAGTTGGTGAAGAGCACCAGAGCAGTAGACACTCATTTATTGCTGGTGGGAATCCAAAATGGTATACAGCCACTTTGGAAGACAGTTTGGCAGTTTTTTAGAAAGCTAAATGTAGTCTTACTGTATGTCCAGCAATGATGCTCCTGCAGGTTTATCCAATTGATTGGAAAACTTAGGTATACACAAAAACCTGTATGTAATGTTTATAGCAGATTTATTCACAATCACCCCAAATTGGAAATAACCAAGATGTCCTAAATAGGTGAATGAATAAGCAAACTGAGGCACATCCATACAGGGTGTCTGTAAGACACAGCATTGCAAATTGGGTCTACTAAATGCAAGTGATGTTTGTTGCCACTGAGTGGTGGTTACTCATGCTCTTGAATGGTTTGAAATCTCCATTAGAACTTCATTTCCAAAATAAAATTCAAGTCAGGACCCTGAAAAATACTGCCAGGACACTGAAAAATACTTTGTGTTCTTTTTGAAAGGGTTCAGTTTCTCACCACTGGTTGGTCTCCACCATAAAATGTAGTCACATCTTTGCCAAATTAAACCACAGAACAAATTTAGGGTGACTACATGTCTTTACACCCTGACTTTATACATGTTGTTCTGTGCAATTATTAATAGCAACCCTTTTTACTTGCAAAAGTGTACAGTTTGGACAATATAGAACCTCCTCAATTTTTCCCAAATGGATCACCCCAGCTTTTTACACCTTGATTTAATGAAAGTTCCATCTTTTACATATTTTATGATATCCATCAGTAATTGGATTGCATTGCCCAAAAGTCCTGCTCTAAGGAAGGTGTTTTGTTTGTTTGTTTTGCTTTTGTTTAATGCAAAAACTTCTAACTTTAGAGGTTACTCCTGTGTTTTGGTGTCTGAAAGATTGAAAAAACAAACAAAAATTATTCTTTCTCCTGCGAGTTATGTTTATTACCACAAGATGATGGTTTACTCAAGGGAAACCCTTCTGTGATCCAAATTGGATGCCAGGAGCATTTTCTTTATTTAAACACTTAGAATTGTGTCGTGACTGTGTGCAACAACAATGAACTTACTCACTTTAAGAGCAAATCACAAAACCAAATAGTTTCCAGTTTTCATGTTAGCTGATAAGAATGTATATATATTGACACCTCTCTGCTTCCGGATATTATGGTTTCTTTTTTCCATAAATACCAGCGTGTCCCTACTATGACTGGCTCTGAGGAAGGCAGCAAGGAGGAGTAGAACCAGGAACATTAGAATCTCACAGACGTGGGTTGGGTCCTTGGACCCACCACCTACAAGCTGTGTGAGCTTGGGAACCTTACTTGAACTTCCTCAGACTCAGTTTCCTAGTCTTTAAAATGGGGAGTATAATACCTACATTTCAGGAATGTGGTGGAGAGAGATAACGTCTTCCAAATTTTGTTGATAGTCACGCCATTATTGCTTGAGGTGTCATCCTCTCTTCACAGCATAGGACTGTCGCTGAGAGGCAGCTTCCCCCGCAAAGTTCACAGTGGCTACCCCCAGCCCTCGCAGCCAGATGGAGCCATTCCATTAGTTTTCCTCCATCAGGGTGGCAGTGCCGGGTGTTACCTCTGAACCCCCCACACTCTGCCCCCATCTGCCAGCTCCATGTGACCGGGATGGCTTTAATGACCAGAGATATTTTTAATTTGATGAAATTTAATTTGTCAGTTTTTATTCTATGTTTATTGGGGTTTTTTGCCCCGTTGAAGAAATCTTTTCCTTTCCTAAGGATTTCCAACCCCCAGGTCATGAAGATATTCCCTTTATTTTCTCCTAGGAATTATAAAAAAGTTATCATGACAGGACTTATTAAAAATTTACATTTAAGCCTATGATCCATCTCAAATTCATTTTCTAAATGAAATTTTATTGAGATAATTGTAGGTTCATGTAGTGGTGAGAATAACGTGGAATCATTTGTATATTTGGCCCAGTTTACCCAATGGTAACATTTTGCAAAACTATAGCCTAATATCACATCCAGGATATTGACAATGATACAATCCACCTGTCTCAGTCAGATTTTCTGAGTTTTAGTTGTATTTGTGTGTGTGTGTGTATGTGTGTGTCTTTAATTTTATCATCTGTGTAGGTTCATGTATCCACCACCATAGTTAGGATCCTGAACACAGGGATCCTTTGTGTTGCCCTTTAGCCACACCCACCTCTCTCCTTTATCTCTCCCCCTAACTTCTGACAACCTCTATTCTGTCCTCCATTTCTAAAATGTTGTCACTTAAAAAATGATATATAGATCATAGCATATAGCATGTAAACTTTTGGGATTGGCTTTTCTTCACTCAGCACAATTCCCTGGAGAATCATCTAAGTTGTTGCATGTATCAATATTTTGTTCCTTGTTTTTGCTGCATTTCGTGAATGGGTGTTCCACAGTTTACTTCTAATTACCTTTTCATGAGATGTGAGGTAGGAGTCAAATTTCCTTTTTTCTTTTCCATATGGATTTCTGTTGTGCAAGTACCATTTGTTGAAAAGACTTTGCTTTACTCCATTGTGTTGTTTTGGCATGTTTGTCAAATATCAATTGGTTATAAGTGTGTTTCTTTCTGGACTCCCTGGTCTATCCCACTGATGTATTTATATATCCTTATGCTGGTACTTCACTGTCTTGACTACTGTTGTATAGTGTTGTGGACTGAATGTTTGTGTCCCCTCAAAATTCATATGTTGTAACCCTAATCCTAATGAGATGGTATTTGGAGGTGAGGCCTTTGGGAGGTAGTTAGGTCATGAAGGCAAAGTTCTCATGAATGGAATTAGTGCCCTTATGAGAATAAGCCAGAGAGCTAGCTACCTCTCTTTCTGCCCTGCCGTGTGCCATTCTAAAATTTGTATGGAACCACAAAAAACTCAGAATAGCCAAAGCAATCTTGAAAAAGAACAGAGCTGGGGCGCCTGGGTGGCTCAGTCGTTGGGTGTCTGCCTTCAGCTCAGGTCATGATCCCAGGGTCCTGGGATCGAGCCCTGCATCGGGCTCCCTGCTCAGCGGGAGACCTGCTTCTCCCCTCCCACTCCCCCTGCTTGTGTTTCCTCTCTCGCTGTATCTCTCTGTCAAATAAATAAATAAAATCTTAAAAAAAAAAAAAAAGAACAGAGCTGAAAGCATCCTGCTTCCTGATTTCACATTATATTACAAAGCTATAGTAATTAAAACAGTTTGGTATTGGCATAAATACAGACACACAGATCAATAGAACAAAATAGAGAGCTCAGAAATAAACTCATGCATATATGGCCAATTAATTTATGACAAAGAGCCAAGAATGTAGAGTGGGAAAAAGAATAGTCTCTTCAACAAATGGTGTTGGAAAAACTGGACAGCCACATGCAAAAGAGTGAAACTGGACCACTTTCTTATACCATACACAAAAATTAACTCAAAATGGATTAAAGAATGTAAGACTGAAATCATAAAACTCCTAGAAGAAAACATAGGCAGTAAGCAACTTGACATAGGTCCTGGCAATTATTTTTTTAATTTGACAACAAGAGAAAAAAAGCAACAAAAGCAAAAATAAATAAGTGGGATGACATCATGATAAAAAGCTTCTGCATGGCAAAGGAAACCATCCAAATGGGAGAAATGAAAAAGCAGCCTACTGAATGGGAGAAAATATTTAAAATCATGTATCTGATAAGGGGTTA